GCGTCCCCCCTCCACCCCCCCCCCGCCGCTCCATCCATGCTACCACGACAGCAGCAGCAGCAGCACAAACTCAACCAGCATTTTCGCCTCTGTTACACAGGTGTGAGCGGCACAGACACACAGACACAGACACAGAATGGTCGGTGAAGAACGGACGGTTCCTCATACTCACATGTCTGGCACGGATTTCTCTCGGTTAGCCTCTGATGAGAGCGGAGAATTGAGACTGCGATTAGTTGTCACAGCTGCTGCTGCTGCTGCTGCCGATGATGTTGACGGCGCCGCTGCTGCTGCTGCTGCTGCTGCTGCTGCCGATGATGTTGACGGCGCCGCTGCTGCTGGTGCTGGTGGTGGTGGTGGTGGAGAAGCGGGATGTGGCCAGATTTGCACGACAAAGATCGAATAAAAGATGCTGGAGAAAAAAAAGGCAGTAGAAAGAGATGATGTTGTTTTTCGGTGCTCTCTTCCTCTTTACTACAACGCCCCCCCGCCCCCTCCTCCTCCTCCTCCTCCTCCTCCCGCTACTGCAACACGGGCCTCTGCCTGTGTGACATTTTCCCGAGCAGCTGGGGTGAGAGTTCACAGCCAGACAACGAGGCTGAGCGGAGCAGGCAAGAAGGTAAGAGGAGCTGGAGGAGCAGAGGGAGGAAGGTGTGACCGACGGATGGCGAGGAGGAGCAAACATCCTCCACACTGGAACAGAGCAGCAGCAGCAGCATCATCACTGCTGCTGCTGCTGCTGCTGTTTCTACTGTTTGTTACAACGTGAATAAAAGGAGTTTTAAATAGAAACTTTGAAAAGAACTGGAACTTTTCGCACGACGTATATTTGCCTCCAAATACCACGTAGTATTACCATCACTGAAATATTGTACATTATGTTAAAACTATTTTCCACTTAATAAGATTATCAACCAAAACACCGTGTACATTAAAGTAGCAAAAAATTAAACTCTTATTTTTTTAAATTATTTCATATTCTATTGATAACAATTGAAAACTTTTTTTGCAAACATGATTTTAAATTGTGTTGTTTAGGTGATGTGTCTCTAAAACATCTGGACCATAACGGTGGTGTGTTTATCAGGGATTTTGTATTATTATTATTATTATTATTATTTAAAGCCAGTATAATTGTTAGTTTATGTTTTATAAAGTAAGTAACTACATTTCTTCTGAAGTCACTCGTCCCCTGGGGATTGGGTTTGATAAAAGAAAACACTGTTGCAATCCCCAACCTCACCGCTAGATGTCAGTAACTCGATATCTTCCAGGTTAAGCTTGCTTCGACGTCTCGTTGTTGGGTTCCTGGTGTTGCGTGTGCTGGGGGAGTGTCCGCTGAGATAACACGGCCCTGCCTGTTTATATCACCGCGCCACAGCAGCATGTCATAGTTTTCCACAGTCCACTTCCAACTGAAACTCGACGACACAAAACACGCGCGAAACCGGAGCTGACGCCCTACACGCACGGTACGGTGTGTTTTTAATCCTTTAATTCTTCATTTCAACCTTTCCTCAACTACGCTGGGATCTGTTTTATGACAGAGAAACAACCAAAAAACGAAAAACGCATAAATGTGATCAGCTGACACATCTGCAGGTGATCCGTTAAACATTAACATTAACGTCTTTAGTCCCATTTTCTTAACTTCCGGACGACGTGCAAACAATGTGATTACGACAAACTCCTGACGGTTGGTGACTCGGCTCTTAGGTCAGTACTCACAAAACACTGAAGTGTAGAAACACTGAAATCGACTTGTTCGTCAACTACTGAGGTCAAACACGGAATAGTTGTTTTGTGTTTTTTTGTTGTTGTTGTTTTGTTTTGGCATAAAAAATACGTTAACGAGTGAAATAATCCATAAAAAAAACAAGTTATAGTGTAAAACAACAAAAACACCGCGCGCGCGCACACACACACACACACTCCGTTAGTTCTGGTGCGTTTGTATTGACAACCTGCACAGTGCAGTCTAAGTCTATGATATGAATGATTCCAAACTGTGTGTGGAGGAGGGCGGTGTTACAGACTCTTATCACTGTTTATAAACATACAGAGTAACATCCTCGCCCCCCCCCTGTAGAGGGTGCTGTTTTCCTCTTGCGTTGAAGTCACTGGTACAGCCGTGTGTTTAATATCAGGTTACATCACCAACATATTAAAAAGGTTGAACTGCCTGTTGACACATACACACCTGATGACATCAGAGTGATGACATGTTCACTTCCTTTTTACTACTGTTTGGATTAGGTTCAGAGTAACGCTTTGTGCCCAAGGCGTTCATCGCCTAAACTGTTTGGTGACACCACCAAAACATGACCGTGTGGCGTTCAGGGACTCATTGATTCTAACTGTAACACATTAATATCGACCAGTAACTTTGCCGATGTTACCCCAGAACATGTGGCTGCCCCTGGTTGGAATGACTGCCCTGCCTCACCTGGGAGGATTATACGGAGGCTACATCACACGCAAAGAGGTGAAAACGTGGTATCCTACCATAAAGAAACCATCATGGCGCCCACCAAACGCTGCCTTCCCGGTAGTTTGGACGTGTCTTTACACGGGCATGGGGTAAAAAACATGACATAAATGATTCTTTTTTTTCCTCCTCTTTGTTTGTAGTGTTTATAATTTTTTTGTTTGTTTGTTTTTTTTGTCCAGCTACGGCTCCTACCTGGTGTGGAAGGATGTGGGAGGCTTCACTAAAGACGCCGTCGTTCCTCTGGGACTTTACGGGCTACAGCTAGCCCTGAACTGGACCTGGACTCCGATTTTCTTTGGTGCACACAAGTTGAAATGGGTAAATTCACTACGTAAATATATTTGTCTTTGGTCTGATTGCACGTTCTCTGACATAAAAGTCTCTCTTTTTTTTTTAATTTAGGCACTGATCGAGATCGTCTGTCTGACTGGTACTGTTGGAGCCACCATGATGTCGTGGTATCCCATCAACCGCACCGCCACCCTGCTCATGGCGCCGTACCTGGCCTGGCTGTGCCTCGCCACCTCTCTCAATTACTGCATCTGGAGAGACAACGGTGATACCAAAGACGAGTAGAGAACGGCGTCCTGTGCCGCCATGCAGCCGATCTGGTTCTGTGTCTCAACACGGATTCATGATTTAGAAGGTTTTGTAGATCGTCCTCAACTGAACATTTACAATTAATACGTATTTGTGATTAGTACAGCTGTTGGATTAACAATTATACATTTGGCCATTCACTACGTAAATATATTAGTCTTTGGTCTGATGGCACGTTCTCTGACATAAAAGTCTCTTTTTTTTTTTTAAATTTAGGCACTGATTGAGATCGTCTGTCTGACTGGTACTGTTGGAGCCACCATGATGTCGTGGTATCCCATCAACCGCACCGCCACCCTGCTCATGGCGCCGTACCTGGCCTGGCTGTGCCTCGCCACCCCTCTCAATTACTGCATCTGGAGAGACAACGGTGATACCAAAGACGAGTAGAGAACGGCGTCCTGTGCCGCCATGCAGCCGATCTGGTTCTGTGTCTCAACACGGATTCATGATTTAGAAGGTTTTGTAGATCGTCCTCAACTGAACATTTACAATTAATACGTATTTGTGATAAGTACAGCTGTTGGATTAACAATTATATATTTGGCTTTTGTATTTGTTTTTGTTTTTATGTTTTACACAGTACTAATACATTAGACTATTTCAGAAACGCCCACACTTTTTTGGTTTTGGAGTTACTGTTCAAATGACTAAATGGACGTACATTGAAAAGGTTAAATGTACATTTACTCATAAACTGAACGTTCTTTACACGTACATTATACTATGTCGAGGTACTGATTAAATACACGTAGCTTTTTGGGACCTTGATTTAATACTTACAGTACATGGTCACTACTAAAGACTGTGGAATTCTGTACATTTATATTCTGGCTTTATATAAATTGCTCATGATCCACCAGTACCAGATTTACTGGTAAACTAAATAATCTACTAATTGGGCACCAGTGGATGGTTTGCACTTGTTGTATTTTTAAAAGATTTGATTAAATAAAGTGTAAAATTGTGTGAGATTTAAGGTCATTTTTATTCCAGGTAAATATTTGACAATTTATTTAAACGTATGGAGACGGACATGATGTTGTTGTTTTCATTTGATACAGTTTGGTTTTTTTGTATAGTCCTGTAAACTTGACCTTCAAATTTGATTAAAAGTATCCAATGTGAATATTTCTAAAAACAACGAGACAAACAGTTGTTTACAATAAGTTTAATTTCTACACATGCAACAAGGAAAGAGTTATTTTTCCGGAGCTTTCTCTGGAACATCTTCAGGTGCTTTGGAGAACCTTTCCATCAAAGATTTCCAGAGACCTTTTTTCTGTTCATCCATCTGTTGCACACTGCCTATTAAATTTAAACAAGGATCCAGGTTAAACTGTGGCTTTAAAAACCATAACAGAGTCTGTAACGTGTCTTATTTTCAATCCGTACCTGATAAAAATACTTTACATTCTTCCAGGGTGACGCCGGTAAAACTTGTGTCTTTTACACGAGGAAACTGGAGGAAGGTGATATGTAGGTGAATACGGTATTTTTATATATAAAGTGAGAAGAAAACAGAAAAAAAAAATACAACATAAAATCGAGCTCACAGCTCAAATATATAAACACTTACTCGTTGTCTGTAGATGTTGCTGTTAATCCGAGCCAAACTCTCATACATCTGGTCACATTTTTCTGGATTTGCGATCTGGAAGTTGAAAACATATTTATGGATTAATGGATTAAGATGAGAAATAACAATACGACATTTTACACACGTTCACATTGACTAAATATTCACTTATGTGTCACAAAATACTGTGCATTTTCATCATGAACAGTGTGTCGTGTCTGTCCTGACTCCACCACCCAAACAAGACTGGATTCAGATTATACTTAATAAAAAACAATACAATATTTTAAATATTCACCTGAAATTAAATAGGTAGTAGCGCAAGACTAAGTATTCTCGACACCTACAGTATAATCTACTGTTTAATCAATTTTACACTAGTCCATATTATAAAAACTGTTATTAATAATATACTGTGTTTTTAATAAATTCTCCTGCTCCTGTTGTGAGGTTGTCACCGCAGGTTGTTAATCCAGAAGCTGCCCAGTAAACATCACAGTCGGTCGGTGTAGACAAGGTCGCGGTGTAGTAGTCGTTGAGCCGAACTAAAGCTCTGCTACTCCAGTGTTTACGTGTTAAAACTGCGTCCGCGTTTGTACCTGTGTGTTTTCTCCCTCTCTGAAGGCAGCCGCGACCCTCTGTCGCAAAAACGACCCCAAGTCCCGACTTTTACTCGTCCCTTGTTTGGGCCACTCTTCACACAGCTTTAGAAACCGTCGGTACCTTGTGGCGGACATTTCTAAACGTTCGTGGGATCTGGCTGAGACGGTCGACTTTTGAGCTCAACTGCGCACCGTACTTGTGTTCACCTCAACACGTCCCCCCTGTCGCTCTACTGATCTTTAGTTCCGGGTAGCACTAACGCTGAGGTTGTCACGCCGCATGTTAGCAAGATGACGGGTCCAGAAAGTAAAAAAGCCTCTTCTCCCGGTGTCATGAACTGGTTCCGATCAGCTTATCGATTTTCAACGGACAGAAACGACTTCCGGCGGTGAGTTCATTTTGAGGAAAGTGTAAAAATGTGTAGCGGTTGGTTGTATTAGCCACGCGGCTAACGAGTTGCCCTTGGTTTGATCGATTGGATATAAAGCACTGCAGCCTGTGTTTACAGCCAAACTGGAACTCCAACTGTAGCTTCTTAAACGTATTCTTAGTTATTTTTGACGGAAATAAAAATGTAATTTATTTCAATTTTGTATATTATTTCTTATTTCGTAGCCTTATGTCGTATGGTTGAATAAAATTAAGTAGATTGTTAGCGTTTCGACACACCGAATATTTTCTCTTGTTAAATCTTTAAACCGTTAAAAAACCTTACGTACGAGGGGATAACAATTTATGCACTTTTAAAGTATTTCTTAAAGAAGTGAACTCTTTAAAAAAATGTCTTCTCTATTTTCCAGAAATCTTCTGGTCAATTTGGGTTTGTTTGTCGCTGGAGTCTGGGTGGCGAGAAATCTTTCCGACTTTGACCTGATGTCTCCTCAGCCTGTGGCATAAACGGGTCTCGACTCCAGCACCACTACAGTTGGGATGATGATGGTAAGAGCATCATATTTAAGTAATAGGTTGGAGAATAGTACATGTTTTTTAAACTAAAAAAAAAAACTGGTTGGAGAATAGTACATGTTTTTAAACTAAAAAAAAAATACTTTCCTCCTCTCCTTTAGGTGTTTTGGACCAAAAAGACGCATGGGACAAAATGTCTTTACACCTTTGTTGAAAGTTTTATAAATTAGGTTGTATACATGAATATGTTGTTTCTTTTTTTCCACAATCTCACTGTAACTGGCAGGACAACAACAACAAGTCACTGTCTCTGTTGTCACGACTTCTTTTTGTAGCTTTTATTTATTTTTATTTTCACCTGGCTGTTTTCCATATGTAAAATGCACCAGAAACAGGTCTTGTTGCTAACACTGTGCTACATCTGATGGTTTGAAAGATAATGTCCCCTCAGGAGACCTTTGTTGCTGCGGCCCGTAAATGTCTACGCGTGGGGAGAAAATCACTCTCCGTCCCTCAGAGTTTGAACCTTGCCGGCATGGTCCTGGCTGTCGATCTGGGTTTAAAACCCGCTCTGTTGTACGACAGCAACGGGGCCGGATCAGAGCAGGTGCAGCAGTACGTCAGCGCACTGCAGTGTTCTCAGCTTGTGTCTAAATCAATTCTCACATTGGATTTCAGTGGAAACACACTTGTCGTTAATCCACTCACAGTCAGAAGAAATTTAGAGCAGGTTCTGTGTGGCAGCAGCAGCAACAGCAGCAGCGTCAGAGTGTACACTCTTCGCCACTCACTGGAGAAACCAGTCGTCAGTGATGGGTTCACACCAGAGCTTCAGAGCGTAACACGAGAGTTGCTGCTTGTTCTGAGGGCGTGTGAGCAGCTGACGCAGGCTGAGAAACCGCTTTGTGTTGAGGAGAAATGCAGAGGTTGGAACCTGTGCACCGTCTTCGGTCTGTTGCTGGGTTACCCCGTGACCTACTGGTTTGATCAGACCAGCAGCTTTGAAAACTGTCTGTCGATGACGCCCCTGATGGTTACCACAGCTACAGCGACGTGGCAGACGGGCAGCGATGACCACAGATGTTGTCTGTTTTCGTTCAGTGTCCCTGCAGTTCTGCTCACACAGACACGGTCCGACCTGGACTCCTGGAGACTTCATCTACAGGAACGATTTCAGCGTCAAAGTGTCTTTAAAGATCTTGTCATTTGTCAGAACACAGTAACTCTGCCATCTGTCTGTCTGTGATGTCTTACACTCTTACAGATCATTCTGGTGCATTTGTCTCTTCAATAAACTCTGTCAAAGAAGCTGATCTCTCCTTGAGTCCTGTTTCATTACAGTACACAGTCAGAGTGATGATGAGGTTCAGTTTTTACCTGTACCTGGAGTATGAATGGGTTCTTTCTAGGTAGTTTCTTGATTAACAGTTATCAGGTAACAGGTTTGGTTGTCAAGATAAAATACAAAACAATCAGAACTTGACCAGTTGAAGTGGATCATGTCTCACTACTTTGTACTAAACTTAACAAGAATCTGTTTTGAAAAATCTTCCAAGTACAAAATAGTAACACATTAGAGAACAACATGCTTTAAGTATGAATGCAGGGTGGAACCAGAACACAATGACAAGAGACATTTACAAGACATAATTTTTGGTAATAAATTACCAGCAGCAGCATTTATTTCATACTGATTTCCTCTTGTGTTCTACCACAGTGGAAATTAGATAAATATTTCAAATAATTACACAACTACACTAAACTAAAAAGAAAAAAACATTACATTTATACTGGTTAATATTCCATAGTATTTGTGCTGATAATATTCCTCTGTGTGAGGTCCATCCTCACTTTGCTGACAGTTTCTGTGCGAGGTCCATCCTCACTTTGCTGACAGTTAAAATTATCGCCACACTGCAACCCATTATTAAATAATAATAAAAAAATTGTTCACTTGGGCAAATGTCCCAATTCAGTTCTGTGAGTTATCAAAAGTTGACTGAGCAACATTTGTTTGTTTTGGAAATTGAACTGTAGTCTTTTCCACGGCCTCTTGATAGCAGTATTTATTCTTTGGCATCGGAAACCGATACCAGTTTTAACCCTTTGTTAATGAGGTAGTTCTGTTTGACAGAGATTCTAACGTGGATGTACGTCATGGTCAGAGTAGAGGGTTGATGGCCGACAACACCTGACCACAGCGTCCGTTCACCTTCAGCTCAGCCAGATGATCGGCTCTTGTAGGACCAATGTTCAAGATGCCAATGGATAGTTTCCTGTCACTGGCTGCCAGCAGAAACCTGTACCCTGAGTAAACCTTTGGGGAAAAAAAATGAATTCAAAGAAAGTGACAGATAACAATAGAACAGTGTTATTGTGACGTTGGTTTAAAAAAATAACCTGTAATGAGGATCCAACGACCAACACCGCATCCGACTCTGCCAGCCTGTCGTGCACAAACTGCACCTTCTCCTTTTTGACAGTATCTCCAAAGAAGGTGGCATCAGGCTTCAGAATCCCCCCACAGACTTCACAGGAGGGAACTCTGAAATTCAGGACCTGCTCATCTTCTATGAAGACGTCGCCATCCGGAGCCACAGCCCCCGCCTGGACCTCCCAGGCTGGGTTCAGTGACATGAATCGACCCTGGAGCTCCTCTCTGGATGAAATAGTACCACAGCCTAAACAAACCACCCTGAGGACGCAGAGACACCAGAGATTTGATCTTCACATTTCAGGTCCTGAATAATTAAAAAATTATACAAAAAAAACTTCAATACAGCAAATCTTTTAACTTTGAACAGCAGTGGAGACGAGAAAATAATGTTTTCTCCAGGAACCTGCACCACCTGACCCGTCTGTTCCCTCACCTGTGGGTGCAACCATGAAGTTCCGTCAATCTCTTCTGTCCGGCCTTTGAGTGAAGAGCATCCACATTTTGGGTGACGAGCCAGTGCAGCTTCCCCTTTTCCTCCCACTGCTGCAGTGCCCTGTGTGCAGTGTTGGGCTGGTGGGAGGAGAACTGTGGCCACCCCACAAAGTTCCTCGCCCAGTAGCGCTGACGGGACTTGGAACTCCGGACAAACTCTGCGTGTTCCATCGGTCGTCTGCTGGTGCGGGCGTACAGTCCTGTGCCCTCGGAGCGATAATCGGGGATGCCCGACTCCGTAGAAAGACCTGCTCCACTGATAACAAACAGGCGTTTGGCTCGAGAGACAAAGTCCTGCAGTAGGTCCAGTGAGTGGACGTCAGTGTCGGTACAGGTAGGAACAAACGTCAACATACCCTCAGTGACGGAGGATGCTCTTCTGACGGGCACCGTGTGACTGGTACAAATTCGCCACGGTAATTTCATCTGCAAAAATACAAATACACAACATTTAATGAGAGCACAGATGGCGATATTACATGACTGATCACGACTAGATAATAACTAATGTGGTATTCTTCAAATGTAGAGGTTGTGAAAAATAATAGTTACAAAAAAGTTTTTGTAGTTTTGAAGTATTTTAGTCTGAAATCTGGACGGAGACTGAATGTCAGAGGTTTTTATTTTTATTTTCATTATTTTCAAAAGGTGTACATTCATATGTTTTTTATGAAAAATTACATGTAATGGTTGAATGTCATAGTTTTTTTTATTTTTAAAAAGTGTACATTCATATGGTTTTTATGAAAAATTACATGTAATGGTTTTGCACGGCTGTCGCAATTAACACGTTTACAGGGATAATTAATTTGTAAATTTAATCTGATTAAAATGATCCCTTTCGCTAATACACTTTCGATACACGATATTTTACACAAAATGGGAAAAGAGTTTTAATTTTTATGACACAAAACCAAATCGTTTTCCAGCCACAATCTGTATATTTCAGACAGACATGACCGTCATGACCAGGGAACTATTTTACTGAGACACAAACAACACATACCTCGATAACAACCGGTTAAATCCCTAACCGGTGTCCTTTAGTTCGCTTAACTAGCAGCAGGTTAAAGAGAGTAATAGTTTATTTTTTAACACAGTTTATATCGTTACTGTACCTTCTCAGTCGAAGTCGCTGTCAACGATGAAAAAGTTCTTCCACAACTGCTGCGGTAAAACACCGCTTTGACGACCAACAGCAGGATGACGTCAGGAGGAAGCTCTGTCAAACTGCTACTAACCGGAAATACTCCATTCTCCGGAACCCCAAAGCGCAGCATGTCGGGAGTTGTAGTCCGATAACGTTCTCTTTTATACCGTTGTTAGTTTTACAAATTATTTTTGAAAGTTTTATAAATTAGATTGTTTTCAATATTTTTTTTTAGTTTTACAAAAATGTTTGAGTCAAACAACATTTCATAATAGTTTTATACAAATTATATACACAATAAACAAACCATAAACGAATACAAACTGGTCAATTAAGGTAAGTTTAAAGCATTTTATAGCCTTTATCCTCAGTCTGTCTGCAAGTTCTGAGAACGTTAGCCCAGTTTAGTTTACTATGAACGTTGTGTGTGTTGTTATTTCCTTTTCTTTTTACTGTACATGTGTAGATAATTTTAATTAAAATCAGTTCCTGTCTGTCAGAATATGCTGCATACATCCTGACTGCAAAACTCCAGGATATCTGCAATTAGAAAATCACATGTTTATGAGCTGGCTCCACAAACACAAAATAAATTGTACAATAAGTTTATTTCTTGTGGTCCTACCTGAGTTTGTGCAGTTGAAGGCGTCTTCTGCATAAGTGTAAAACTCCTCTCCCAGTATGGACCTAAGGTCCATGTGACTGGTGTGGACGAAACACTGAGTAGCATCTTTAAACAGCACATCACACTCTCCGTACTGATGAGACTCAAAGAGCTTGAACTCAGTGTTCGGCTTGGCTGCCAGAGTTTCCTTGATGGGGATTAAAAACAGTGTTTTAGAAATGGACGGACTAAACCTTTACCTGTAAAATCAGCCGTGTGGATTTACACCGACCGACCTGTGACTTCATCAGGAAGTCGTAAACTCGTGCCGTCATCACTGGCCGCGTCATGACCGTGTTGGGTGGAATGAGCCCCAGATTACAGCTGTCCCAGTCTGACAGCGGAGCCCGGCGGCCGTCGTGACACAGAAGCTCAAAGTCTGACGGGCTCCAACCGTCGGCCCAACCTGAGGAGCTCAATCCTAGAATTTAAACACAAGAAATACTGACATTAAAAAAGAAGAAGAAAAAAAATTGCATTTTCTTAAATAAAAATATTGTTTAAAATATAAAAAAAGTTACTGTTGATGTTATCCACAAGGTTGTGCTGTTCCAAAAAGGCCACATCGCCGTAGCTTTTTCCGCTGCGATCTCCAACCAGACACCTGGAAATAACAACGAAAAAAATATGGATTAAAGTGGATTAAAGCACACGACAAATATTTGAATCACTCAGGGAGTTTCTCTCACATTTTTGTCTAAAAATGATATCATAAAAATACAAAAGCGTTTTGTCATAATTCCAACAAAAATGTAAAAAAAAAAATACCTCAAAGCTCCCATGTTGCCATAGTAACGCTCATTGTGGTTGTCAGCACAGCGTTTGGTTGCAGTGTCGCCGGTGCCTCCCATACAAACCTTACACAGATTCCCCTGAGAACCAGGGAGGCAGCCCTTCCAAAACACCTGCTCATAAACTGAGTGAATACAAAAACAACCGAAAAATAAATCAGAGGGGAAAAAAAACGGTCAATAATGGAGGATGATGTCGTTTCACCGAGTGTGAGCAATACCTGTGTTTGGGTCACAGGAGGTGCTGTTGTGCTCCAGACTTAAGGTGTGTCTGACTGGCAGCAGCCACCCCGAGGGGCTGTACATGTGACCCTGACAGGAGCGCCGTCCTGCCAGGTTACCCATCGATATGCTCCTGCTGGAGCGCTTTGACACAGCGACACCTACCACTGTGGGGAACACTGGAAAAAAGGAAAGCAGTGATTTAAAAAAAAAAATAAAATAAAAAAATAAAAAAAACATGGCAGTCATCATTTTTGTCCTACCTTCTCTTTCCAGGTGAATAAATCCTTCAGGAACCACACACTGTGTCCCTGAAGAAATAATAAATAAATAAAACAGAATATGCATATTATAATTTTATAACTTCATAATAATCCATCAACTGATCTGATGATTCAAGTGTGTAAAACCAGAACAATGTCAAAAATGATTAAAAAAAACTAAATCTTGCCATCAATTTATTATTTTAAAATGTCTAAGTGACTTGAATTGATGTATTTCCTACAACAAAATGCTGAAGGGACCAAACAAATACATATAACATATTTTATTAGTATTAAATAATTATTATAATTATAATAATAATTGAATCAATACAATGTAATACTAGTCTTAATGTATTTTTTGGAAATTGTCCAAAAATGTATTTTCTCAACAAATGTTTTTTTTCTTAATAAGGAAATTGTCCAATAATTTATTTTCTCAACAAATGTTTTTTTTCTTTAGATTTCATACAAAAATAAGCTGTTTGATTAATGAACCAGGTTCAAGGTCAATTACAGTTTGTCAAACACCAAAATGACAGACCAACCATCAGAGCGCGGTGAAAAACCTAAAACTGTACCATAATATTCAGTTACCACAGGGACCAGACCACACTTCCCGGCGATGTATGTGTGAGTTGCATCCAGCGAGGCAGCGTCCACCTCGTCCCTCTGTGGGTCACATTACAGGGACTCAGTTAAACTGTGACAACAAGTATTTAAAAACCTTAAACATTCGTTCGTTAACTGGTCTTAACCTTAATTCTCTCGATGCAGTCGCGCATCGAGACGCCCCTGACACACACCAGGGGGTCAGACTTGATGTTGAGAGCCCACTGCTCACACTTCTTCTGCTCTGCATCACTGATGCAACACCAGCGCACAACGCTGTCCTCCAGGGAACTTCCTACACACACACACACACACACACAGATTCAGTGACTTAGTAAAAATCACAGCCCGTCTGTGATGGACGTGCTAACGTGGAGAGAATCACCTTCATGTCCTAGACCTTTGAGGAGAGCCACATAATCCAGACCCAGCACCTGGATGACGTCCACGTCGTCTGCCAGAATAGATAATTTCTCCGTCACATCTTTGAACAGAAGATCATTTTCTCCAAAAGATGAAGAATTAAAGAGTTGGAATCGGTGTCTCTCTCTGCCCTGCCGTCCAAAAAGCACCTGACAGATAAAAAAAAAGAAAAAAAAACAACAACATCCACAGACTTTATTACACAGAACCTAGAGGATGTAAAATAATAATAATAATAATTAAATTAAAAAATACCTGCAGTGTCATGAGAAATTTGCGAGCAACCTTGCGGAAGTTCAATCTGGTGACGACGCCCCCTCCTGGTCCACGTCCTAGGTTGCAGCTCCTGTAGTGGCTGATGGGAGCCTGCGTGCCATCAGAACACAGTAATCGGAACTCGTCTCCACCGTCTCCTGACAGAAGACAGAAGAATGTCTCAGATCAAGAAGCGACCAATCAGAAACATCCTAGTGGAGTTCATGAGCAGCACAGTGTTTGATGATTTACACCTACCTTCAATGTTCTCCAAGGCCAAATGGTCCACAAACGCCACATCGCCCGCACCACTGCTGAGGCACCTGGAACACAACGTCAGGGACAGGAGATAAACTTCTTCTTTATATCCCCCTCTCTCTCCTCTACCTTTACTCACTCACTTTAGATCATGGGATATTTTATTTCCCATAATGAGCAGCTGTCATTATGCCCAGGAAGCTGTTAGAATATCTGTAACACGATGCTAACAAGACTAAAAAAAAATTGCAAAACATGTTCATGTCAATCCCATAATATCATATCTACCAAATAAGAACTGCAGCAAATAAAAAAACATTCAAACAAACTACTATTAAACTATCCATTGATTATATTACTGTTACTTTTTTTGCACACATTTAAATTTCATCAACAGGAAAAAGAGTTTTAAAAGAGTCAGCATTAGAATGGATGGATGAATGGATGGATGGATGCATGGATGGATGGATGGATGTATGGATGGATGGATGGATGATGGATGGATGAGTGGATGATGGATGGATGGGTGGATGGATGAGTGGATGATGGATGGATGGGTGGATGAGTGGATGGATGGCTGGGTCATATAGACAGAAGGCCGGGGGAAGAGGAATAGAGATGTGCCTGGTAGTTTATTGACAACCCCCCTCTCCCCCCTCCCCTGCCCCTAACACACACACAGATACAATCCATCCCATTGGCTGCCTGACTTCTCACTGATCAACAGTCCTTCTCTAACAAAGTCAAGCAGAACTTGAAGTTTGTTCAAGTCGTTTACTCTCTCACTAAAAAAAGTAACAACTTCATTTGACTTCACCCTGACTGAGAGGCTGCTCCTTGGACCAGCTCAGGTAGTTTCGGGAAAGAAGAAATCCCAGCGGCAGACTCCAGCCGGCCGTCCATCGTACCCCGCTGTGACAGCTCCTCACCCCTCGGAGGGACCTCACGTCCAGGCTGCTGTTCTTCACCACAGCTACAGACAGAACACAGCCTCCTGCAACACAGACAACAACAACAACAACAACAGCCGCCGCCGCTGCCACATTATCACCGGGAGATGCTGTGAAGTGAAGAGTGGAGTCAGGAATGTTTTGATGATGTATTTACCATCTCTGTAAATCTCCTTGGCGACGGCGACCAGGCCAAACTGCTTCACGGCCGAGTAAACTTCTCCTGCGTCTAATGTCACAATATCAGCACGGTTGGCCTGAGATAAAACAGACCAGTATTATCATTATTAGTAGTAGTATTATTTAGTGTGTTGATGGAATTTATAAAAAACGTCCAAAAAAAAAACTACGTTTTCTACCACTGAATTACACTCATTTTGTCCAAAGTATGAAATCATTTGCCATTTTTACAACACAGATTGTTTTACTTCCTTACTGTAAAACCAATTTTATTCATTGTTAATATATATTCACAGTGAATATACATTGTAGTTTGAAGCAGTGGTTCTCAAACTGTGGTCCGCATACCACCAGTGGTACGTGGGGAAAATTCATATTCAATTGAATAAATCTGAAACACAACATGCACAATTAATACAACATTTAAACATAAACATCTTTATAAACATTTATAATAATTTCTCAGGTGGTACAGAGTATAAAAAGTTTGAGAACCACTGGTTAAAAAACAACATGTATCGTCTGTAAAAGTTAAAAAACAAAACAAATCTCCGACTGATTTCTCTCCACTCTGCTGCTCTGACACGTTCGTTTCTTCACTGCTGAGTTAATGAAACCTCCTTCTTCATCGTTCTTATCTCCGAGGCCTCAGTGTCACCGTACATCATGCCTCACCCTGATCTTGTCAATGCAGTCTGCCGTGCTGGAGGCTCGAACGCACGACAGTCGGGCAAAAGCTGCCACCGCAGCTGGAGGCAGCACGGTCACCAGAGCTTTGGCCAGTTCTGCACACTTCCTCTGCTCGGCGTCCGACACCGCGCACCACCGCGTCTTTTTTGCTGCCAGGCGAAAAAAGAATTAGTGACAAACGACAAACGCTGCAGGTTAAATTCCCTTCACATTGAACAGGATTGAGTTTGTACTGCCACCCACTGACAGGACATCAGTTTGAACTTTTTATATTTATATTTAAATCATTTTTAATAACATGTTCGACATAAAGGTTCTAGTGATAAAAAATACAGAAAAAAATAAAAAGAATCAAAAGGTTTTTTTTCTCACAAACTAGGGGTGTAAGAAAATATCAATACATTGAAATATCGCAATATTTAATTTCACGATATCACATCAATATTCTTGTTGTACCTAGAATAAAAATACAAATAGGATAAAGCAGAAAAAACTATAAATTTCACGATATCGCAAAAATGCAAATAGGATAAAGCAGAAAAAACTATAAATATTATAACTTAGAAAAGAACAACATACAATCCCTTCATAAAAACAACGTACAGTCCCAGTGTAAAAACCAGTCTCTTTCAGAGGCAGTGACTTGACAACAGACATAACTAACAAATAAAAACTCACCCTTGATGCAGCAGGCAAATGTGCAGAAGAGTAAAAAAGTGTAAAATCCTCTCATTCTGGTTGGAGTCAGAGACCGAGACAGAAACTAACCTGAAATCTGTGGAGCACAACACACTTTTTCCATCACTCAAAGAAAAAAAAAAACCTGATTTCTCTGCCAAGTACTAAAAACCACTGGACCTAATGGAGGAAAAAGAAAGCTCATTGCTCAAGGGCCACTCCTCCGAAAACAGTCATGTTCCTGATTTCACACACGTGTGAAATAATTAGCACCATGTGTCCAGAAGCTCGGCCCCTGACCGAGGATTTCATGGATCTAAAGAATGGACGCAGAGGTGAGGATTCCTTCAGTGTGAGGTTTTTAAGAACAAAAAAAAAAACAAAAAAACACCATGGACGGTGAACTGAGAAGAAATGTTTATAAAACAGTTACATTTCATTTAAGTCTCTATTCGATGTAGAACATTTTGGTTGATGAGCTGCAGTGTAAACTTTGCAGGTGAAATTACTGACGTGTGTGTGTCTGTGTGTGTGTGTGTCGCTCTTCATTTCTTCGTTTGTACAGAAGGAGAAACTCCTGCCGTCTGTTTCTGGATCCTCTCTGCATACAGCAGCATCGTCGGCTTCCGTTTGGCCACAGACGTGGACAGATGGAGAATGTTCTCCTCCAACTTAGAAACAAAAAAATCAGGAAAAAATATTATGAAAGGAAACTGTGGTACTTATTAGATAATAAATTGAAAAAGATATATTCCCTCATAATTATGAGTCATATTTCTGTAAAATTAGAAGAAACCGAGATAACCCTTAATATTGAAATAAAGAATATGTAAATTCATTGAAATATCAGAATAAAATATTTTTTAAAAAATAAGATATAAATTAGAAATATTAACAAAAACCAAGTCTAAACGTGTTGTTTCTCCCTGAACGCCTCACCTCCTTTACCTCCTGGGAAACAGAACTTATTTCTGTTGGTGCCTCCATTGAACTGATCTGGAGCCATTCCTCCAGAACCTTCTTCAGTTTCCGCCACGACCTGGTTGTAAAGTCAGACAAATAATGGCCGTTAAAGCACCAAAAAAAAAGATGAGTTTAAAACAGTTTTTTTATTTTTGTTACCTCAGCTGCCTCCTGTCCCGTAGATAACTCTTCATCTCCAGCTCGATGCTCAACAGTTCACTCGTCAGAGCAGACGTTGAACCTTCAGCCCCTTCAGCAGGTGCTCCAGTGTGATGCTCTATAAAAAAAGAAGCTGTGTATTAGTAAAAAATAAAAAAAATACATTTTAAAAATATTGTATAAAAATGAAGTTCCCATACCAGAATATTCCAGAGACTCATGGGAGACTTTTCCAGGTATTTTGAAATGGACCCAGAGACTCATGGGAGACTTTTCCAGGACATGGATTGTTCTTTTTTTCAAACTTTAGAAAAAAAAAAAAAAAAAAAAAAAAAAAAGGAGTCCCAGTGAACAACGTGTCCACATCTGGTTTAATCAGTTAGAAAATAATTACTTCATTGTGAGCGACTGTTTTCATGAACGCTGACGGAGGCAGGAGGACGTCCATGGTCTGATGTCTCACGGAGGAATCGGTCCGTGACACGTGAGCTTCAGAGATGTTCGTATCTGTGATGGAGCTGCGATGTGCGCTGGAGACGAGGATCCCAGCAGTCAGACTGCAAAAAGGTTCTGCAGCTCCGGGTCGGGAAATACCAGACTGGCTTAAGGAGCTGAACAAAAAAATAATTTTACCAAATTTGACTGAGATTAGGAATTACATAAATGTTGTTTTATCTTCACAAAAGTTTTACCCTTTATGCTCCGAGACCATCACCGGAGACTCGATCGGATCCTCGAGGCGGTAAGGCTTCTGTCGACGCTCGCGTCCGCGAAGCCTGCGAGAGCAAAAATATTAAAAAACTCTCCAGAAGACAAAGAGGGACATCTGCTGGTCACAGCACATCACAACGTTCCACTCACATTTCTTTCAACATGTTGACATATTCATCTTCCTGCCCCGCTGTGTTAGACAAGGAAATGCCCCCTGGGGCAGTAGTGGTCAATGACGGGGTCACATTCTTTTTCATCAGTTGCTCTTGGACCATTTCTCCCCACGGTTTAGACAGCGCCCTCTGCTTCCAGCGCAACGCACAGCGTCTCACCACCCTGTGGAGATGACGTGACCTCTGTGGAACACCTGACCAGACCGGAGAGCGCAGCCCACACGCTGTCGGAAAGACAGCAACATTCCTTTTTATGGCCCCCACTGGCTCGTGGCGGTGCTGTGTGAGGTCCTCGCTGAGATCATTCACGTGAGCGGCGTATGTGAGGATGCAGCTCACGCCCTTCCTCAGCAGCCGGTCTCTGTAGACACGTGCAGACGCAGACGCCTGCTCCCGCCTCCAGCGCTGCTGAGCGGCCCACACCCTCCACGCATACAGCACCTGAGGCACATTCACCAGGACGCAGGACACATGTTCAACTCTGGTAGGGTCCGTTTTAACTTTTTTTTAATTATATTATAATAAAAAGGCGTACCTTGTACTGGAGATTGAGCGCCCAGTGCCAGAGGGCTTCGTGTGTCTGTTCAACTTCTCTCTGTCTGTGCTGCAGCTGTCAGTAGGAAGAAAACCAAATGTTTTTTTACTCACTAATCTGATAAATGTGCCAGCCCTGGAGGGCAGGGAGGGGGCGCCGTAGCAAATAATAAAACCAGGTACGGTTCAAAATCAAAACTAGTAAACATGAATGACAACATACAGTGAGACTGTGATGACATTGGATAAAATAAAGCTAAAACAAAAAGATGAAAACTAAAGAGGAATAACAGAGGAAGAGGTGAAGAAGACGTGTCAACGAACCCATTTTTTTTTTCAGTAAATGTGGGGTGAGACTGTGATAAAATAAAGCTAAAAACAAAGATGAAAACTGTTTTTTTGAACACGTGTCAACAAACCCATTTTTTTTTTCAGTAAATGTGGACTTTACCTTATATTTCTGGCAGTGTGTGTGATAGTCTCCCCACTGTTGTAGGGCTTTACAGAGCAGTTTGGATTCATGGTGACGTACGGCTCGTTTCACACACAGAACCTGTTTGGTTCTTTGCCTCCACTGTGTGAACGTCCGCAGCAGAAGCACTGAACACAGAGAACAGCAGTGGAAGACATTAAAGACGCTCGGACATCGTTCCTCCAACAGGTAATTTATCTTGGGCGTGTAGTAGCTTTACTGTGTATGTCAAGGAACCTCTCAGACAATTACATGCATTAATTTTAAGTAATTGTTTGTTCTTTTACAGGATAAATGTGCAGTAAACCTTAAATCTTAAATTGTCTTAAATTAGTTTGGTAATAAAATAGGATTGTACAGAATATAGATCGATTGATAGAACTTTATTGATGTTCCCTTTGGGGAAACTTAAGAATATGTTGTGTGTTACTACATGTATTTACCATGGTTACGTGACCTTTTAGCTCTGCTGACTGCTGCCCTCTGCTGGCGCAGCGTCGACACGGCCAGACTCGTTGCTGCTCGCCAGGCATAAAACACCTACATCAGATGTGGGTGAAGAAGACAAACGAATGAGTAATGGGAACAGGGTGAAGCGAGTTGAAAAGTTGAACTTCTCTCTCACCTTGGGCTGTGTTAAGTTTTTAAAATGATTCAGTGCTCGTTGCTCCGACAGGCGACACTTTGCCTGCAGCGCCGCGTTCCCTCGCCACACTGACAGAACGCCGCTGCAGAGAGAGGAAGGACGCACGTGGATATCGACTCTTCTTTACTCGTACTGAATATGTGCCTCGTACCTTACCTTAGATATGTCTTCGTTTTCAGTTGATAAAGTGTCTCTGCACGTCCACGGATGTGAGACAGAAGCAGGTGATGTGTCTGTACATACAGCAGATGACAGACAGTGTTAGCTTCGACCGTTAGCATGTCCCGTCATACATGTGTGACGAAACATTTTGTTAATGAAACCCAGTCACCTTCCAGGCCGTGAAGGTTCGCTGGAGAAGTTTGGTCTCACGGTGACACAGCATCTGCTCCTGTTGGCGTTTCTTCTCTCTCTGGTTCTGAAAAAAGAAAAACAGAATCCAAAACAGAGACAGAGTTTTGACACAACTGTAGTCACTTCGTGTGCAGCTCAACTGATTTAATTTACACTTTAATTAAATTAATCTATGTTGCACCACTGCACTCAGCTCTGGCATCAGATGTTTGATGATATAATCTGAGTTTTAAAAAAACCTTTGTCCATCGTTCTAGAGCCCATCTCATGCAGCAGAGGTCTCCCTGTTGACCGGCCTGGAGTTCTCTGTTCCTCCTAATAGACAAAAAAAAAAAAGAAATGTTTCTGAGCTCAAAGTCACACAGACTGGCACCAGTTCTCATGGTGAACAGTTTGCCGACACCTTAGTCTAATCTCAGCGCTGTTGTTCTTCCACTCCGTCATCGTCCTGTCGAGGAGTGTGTGCTCGTACAGCTGATCTGATGCTTTCAGTTTCTCCTCCTCGATCATCTTCTCTTTTGCCTTTTGTCTCCAGTAAAAGAAGATTCTCCACCTGTAGGATCTTTTCTCATGAAGAATTGCCTAAAAACATTGACGTTGTCAGAGAGTCTGATAAAAAAAAACAACCAACAAATTAAAACAAAACTAATTCATGTGTTTATGTCCAGTTATTGTACCAGTCGCTCTAGAAGCATGTGCTCCTTATGTCTCTCTGCCCGTTCCCACCAGGTACTGAAGACCCATTTGCGCTGACGCTGTCTGTAAAAGCAGTAAATACATGTTATAAAAAAAACACGTCTTATTTGTTTTTCTTACATTTGCAAAAGTCTGTGGAAAAGAAACTCACTCATTGAAAGCGTCAGCATCTTGTTTCCTCCGTCCACGGAGTCGTCTCTGCACGGTGAACTTCACCCAAGAGTTAAAAAACCGCAGCTGGAGGTGATGGACCAACCAAACGTCTGCTTTGTGTTCCAGCTCCTGTATATGAGGGAGTTTGCTCATTAACAGCGTGACGAGATTCCTTAAACATTTCAAAGAGTGGGAAAACAGATGACTCCCCTGCAGGTACGGTCTAACACAAGCAAGTTTTTACCACTGTGGTGTATGATTAGAAATACCTGCATATGTTTCTGTTTAGCGAATGTCTCCCTCCAGTGGTGAAATGAGCTTCTAAGCGCAGTAACTCTGCAAACACAAAAAAACAGATACTGGAAAATTCAGTCCAGATTCATATGTAGGGAAGTGGAAAAAAATTCTAAAAAAAATCACCTGTATTTCCTCTGTGCAGTTTCTCTCAGTGGTTGAAATCGTCGGTCTTCCGCCTCCTCCACACGCTCCTGCCACAGCCTCCAACACCTCCTCATTCTCTACAGCACCCAGAGACAGAAAGCTTTTACAATCCACACCAACAAGTAACCGACAGTTCATGATGAGTGCTTGTGTCGCTTGAGTGATTATCTGTTACAGTGTAACGACAGTGCTGCACAGCTACGTTGTTGTTCATCCGATGTCTTTTGTTACACATGGCGTTGAGATCAAATCCCTGCAGCCCAGCGCTCTGTCACAGGAACGCAGTGATTATTTACAGTACATGATCAGGCAGACTCACGTACTGTATGTATGTAATTACTGTTTCTTACCAGCAGGTGGCAGTGATAGTGCCGAGTTGCCATTTGGTTCATTTTGGCTTCATCTTTGCACAGTGACACAGCTACCGACTGAAGCTGAGGAATCCAACATCATCAGGTTTACTTTTCAAACCTGTTTCACGGTCAAGGATACAAGTCGACCACTGCAGCAGCGCCCGGCGCTGAGTGCTGCGAACAGTCAGCTGCGCTGCAGCAGCCAGACGGTCTTCCTCCCTCCACTTACGATGCAATCTTTGACTCCAGGTATTCCAATACATCTTCACCAGACGCAGATTATAATGAAGCTGAGCTTCGGCTGAAACATTCAGAAAGTGAGAAGCAGTGATTAGCATCTACTTAAATGCATGTACAAACGGTGGGGAGTTATTTAAATATATATACCTTGAGACTTTCGTTTGGTTTGGCAGCAGTACACATAAAACATCCACAGATACAGTGTTCTTCTTTTCACCCTGTGTGTGTAGTGATGTAAAGCCTTGGACTCTTGGTGTTTGTGGCGACACTGAGCTGAACGCGTTTCTTTCCACTGAAGCAGAGCCTTTTTTAGAATGGAAGAATTTTGCACGTGTCACACCGGACAAACAGAACACTTTGTATGACATAATAAGTGGTAAATAAACAGTTTTAATGAGGAAGTAATTAAAAATAAATTACCTTCTTCTTTATCGTCACATCCCGTTGTTTCAGATACTGGTCCTCCAAGACGTAAAGGTTTTTAAGCTTTTGCAGCTTTGCTCGCCACAAACTCCAGAAAATACTGAAAATGTAAAATCATTGAAAACATATGATCGGACACTTTGTACGTAAAGGTTTTTTCCAGCGTTATAAACCTACCGAAGAGTTGAGAGTCTGTTCTTCTCCAAGGCTGATTCCATCATTTTCTTTTTCTTTCTTATAAAAATCCCCCAGTTGCTCCAGGCCACACCAACCCGTTGCCTGTCCGCTGGTTACACAAGAGCATGTTGAAAAAAAACAAACAAACTGTAACTGAAATTGTAAAGTCAAATAATGTGGAACATTCTATAATAATCAAAGCCATACCATGAAGGTTCGCATGTTTCAGTTTGATCTTCTCTTCCTTCTGCAGTGACACAAAGGTACGCCAGCTTTGGAACACTTGAGTAGACAGACGAAAACTAAGGGCAAAATAAACATACAAAATACATCAGTGACAACTTCATGGGTCTGAAGATATGGTATGATAAATTGTAAACTGTTAAAGCACTGACTTGTGGTGATACTCTGCCCTTATTTTATGGATCCACCCTCTCCTGGACGTCCACCACTCCTCTGTCCACCCATTAAAGGCTCGTCTTAGGACCACTCTGTCATAGTGACACCTACAACGTGCAATGCACTCTTGAATTAGTGTCAAATTGATTGTGGACTTTTACTAATATCACCTGATCAAGGTGTGGTTTTGTTTATGTACATTGATGTCAAATGTTTGTGTTTTATTTTACTTTGCTTCATGGGGAAGAACTCGACCAAAGGTGTTGCGTATCCATATATATAGGAACTTTCTGGCCCAGGTTCTGTAGGGGTTAAAAAATATGTTGAATAACAAATTATAAATGCTGTTTATTTACAAATCGAGCTCCTTTTGCACCTTATCCTGAGCTCCTTGAGTCTCCCGCCTCTGTTCCAGGTATATCCAACTCTGTAAACGAACTTTCTGGAATTAACGTTGCGGACAGGTTTATTTTGACCACTGGGTCTGACAACGTATGTTCTACGCAGTCCTACCTCTGCTTTTTTAGTGTTATTCGACATTGTAAAAAAAAAATCACTACAGCGTGAGCCGGTGTTTTAAAATAAAGCCTAAAAGAAAAACAACAACAACGACAAATATACTCCAATAAATCTTTCGGAGGAAGAAAAAGTCGGCTTCTCTGTGGTAACCAACTGCCGCGCATTAGTTTTTCCGTGTCACGTGACCATGGGCTGCCTTCACGTGATAAAAAAATAGTGGGAAATGAGAATTATTCCCTTGGTATATGCAACATTAATTATTTGCATAGAAAGTAATTAGTAGTCATAATAAATTAATTCATAATTTATTGAAAAATATTTTTCACCAATCATGCAGTTTTTAATAATGCTTATATTCTTAAACAAAGTATATGCCAAAATCCTATTATCAATCTTTCTTGTGTCTTCCACAAATGGCAAATAACAAGAATCCATCCTCAAAATTGAAGCGTTGCAAAAACCTGAGAAACATGAGAGCGAGCAGGAAAACTTTGATTGTTTTTGTCATAGAGGTACTAAAGCAGGGACTTGATGGGGACCTTGTTAATATCCCCGGGAAAGATTTTCAGTCTCTCATTGTGGATGGTCAAAGTACATGATCACAAATTGACTCTAACATCTCGTCCAACTACATACTACACTAAATAAATGCGTTAATAGCAGCCGACAACATTGTATCAACGCACCTTATAAATAAATCTTTAGAAACATGTATTATCTTACTATCACTTACACAAAGCAGATGGCACGAAACAAAGCTTTGAATTAATCAATAATGAATAAACACAGTTTCGCGATGGTCAACGCTGGATCATTGCTTAATTGGCATATCGACTTTTTTAATCTTTTTCTCACGTGTAATGTGTTTATTTTTGCCGCACAGAGCAAAACGTATACAAAAGTGCCAACGTACCGAATCCTGTCAACGTAACGGTAACACGTATTTTAATACCTTGACAGTCTAACGGGGCGGTATATTATGGTTTCCTGAGAGTGCACGGACATTGTTACGTCGGAACAACAAATCAAGCAAACCCTATGACAATGAATAGCTGACCAAAATATTGCCTTTCGACTGTCCTAACGTAATAACAAACTTCCCTTCTATAAAGCATATTTATTTTTACACTGGTAAATAGCTTTTGATGATAGTACGAGACACAAAACGCTAAGTTTGTCATAGTTTATTTATGAGCCACTGACCCGGCGTAACGTCTGCCAATTCTACAAAGGCGCCACGGGCACAAAACATCTCATTCTCAAGGACCTTCTTAAAGCGGCGATCTGAGGAAAATTTGTGCTACGACTTAGAAAACAGAGAAAGATTTGTCACTTGTTTTGAGTACATGGTCTCTGTATTACTTAATTTTTCTTTTATTTAGACCAGTATCATTGTGTGAATATATCCCCGTATTTATTCTGTTTGTTTAGAAGTCAACAACCGCTCAGCCGGCACTGGACTTGTTAGTCGCTGGGTGGGCATTTATCCCCATTCCCCAGCTAGTTAGCTGGCTAGCCAAGGTGCTAGTTTAGCTTACTGGCTAACAGTCGTGAGCTGACGCGGTCCGAGCAGTGGACCTCACAAAGATAAACCTGAGTAAGTTGTTACTAGTCTTAACACTCAAACTCCTTTGAAATTTGTACGATTTTAGTTCAGCAAACAACATGAAGGGTTAACTGTGTTGGTAGGACGTCAGCTTAGACAACTGTTCACAAACACTGGCTATTTGTTGGTTTCACGAAACTCAAATGTATGAATTTGGCAAATATTTGTAAAATTTAGTGGCTCTTTACGATGGTTTGGAATAATAATAAATTGTTATTAATGTTTTTCTATAGCCTAGTGTTTAGAAAAAACGTTCTCCTAAAGCTAGCTCATGCTATGGTTCGCGTAAACGGCACTGGCTGTTGTCAATTAACTCGCTTAATTGGCTAACAGTGTTCAAGTTCGATTCAGCTCCAACTCTGAAGTTAAATAATTCCCTATTAATGTACACTATTCAGCGTTTGATGTAATGTGTCCTTTCTAATTAAAAATGTTTTAAAGACTGAGAGCATTTGTTGTCATATTTGATTTTATGTTGACTTTTCTTTCTGACAGGAATAGATCGTTGGGAAATAAGCTGTTTGCTCTGTGTCTAGTCTGTCATGGAGAACGACACTTGTGTTGAGTTGAAGACTGGTGATGCTGCTGTGGATCATGTAAAACAGCAGTCTGTACCTGCAGCACCTTACAGATATTCAAAGGTTAACAAAACTATAGCAGTATATGCATTCGTTACATACAGTTTATACTCGGGACTCTTGTTTTTTAGTTGTTCTTAAATTTTGTCATGGTGCCTCTTTTAGGAGGAGCTTCTGGAAATCAAAGAATTGCCAATCTCCAACGAAAGGCCAGAATGTCTCTCTGAGAAATATGACAGGTAAAAATCTACTCTAATAGAACGTTGTACAAAGGCAGTTGTACCAATGGTATCCTGTCTTCTACGGTTTTACACCTAGGCCTCACACTACCTCAGACCTCAGGGAAAAAAGTAACAATTGAGAAAACTTAAAAGTACAGGTTAATTCTGCCATTTTTGATTCATTTGAACGTTTGCATGCAGTGATGGTGTCTGGGACCCTGAGAAGTGGCATGCCTCGCTGTATCCCACTTCAGAGCGCAGCTCACCAATGGAAGGCTTTAAGAAGGACTTCATGGATGATAGGATTCCTATGAAACGAAGAATCCCAGGTAAACGACAAAAGTCAGACCCACAAATTTGTTTTGAGATGTTTCAAAACTGCAAGCAAATTTTCAAAGAGAAGTGGAGAAAAAATGTAATCAATAACATAAGATATTGAAGTATGTGTTGTCTGTTACTTGAAGACCCTCGGGAGCGGTTGAAAGAGGATGATATAGATGTCATCCTGAGCCCACAACGACGCAGCTTTGGAGGTGGATGTCAGGGCAATGCTGCACTTGCACCTCATATCCGGCGCCCAATCAGTCCCCTGGAGAATAAGGAGAACGAAAGTCTCCGTCTAGGAGGGGCCCGTAGAATTGGGAGTGGACGTATAATTCCTGCACGAGCTTTTGAGAGGGAAGCTCGTGCAGAGAAAGAACGGGAACGTGAGCGAGAATTCAAAGACAAGAGATTCAGGGTTGGTCTTGACTCATTGGTCGTTTTTTTTTTTTTTTGTTTTTTTTTTTAAATCTTGTGAAGAGACAACTGTTAAATTAAAAAATGTCCCAATCATGTTCATAGAGAGATTTTGGTGACAAACGTGTCTTCAGCGAGAGAAGAAGGAATGACTCTTATGCAGAAGAGGAGCCAGAGTGGTTTTCCGAGGGTCCAACGAGTCAGTCTGAGACAATTGAACTTATCGGATTTGATGACAAAATCTTAGAGGACGACAAACGCAGGTCCAAACGGCCAAGAAAGCGGACAGAGTCTTTAAAAGAAGGCATGTCATTTAAAAAGTTATTTATTCACACTTACAGTAACACTACAGCTCAGGGTTAGTTAACTTGTGATTTTATTTATTTTTTTGTTTTTATTTTCCAGTGGTGGAATGTAACGGTGGACAAGTAGAACAAGAAGGTCTGCGGTCTACAGCCGATCAGGAGGTTCCTCACCCTGATGTTCTGCCAGAACAGTCAACCAGGGAGTTTGATTTCAATGAATTCTTCAACCTTGAGAACACAATGCCTGGATTGGCCTCTGTAAGTCCTGGGGTGCACTCTGTAGTTGTTTGAAAACCAAACAGTAGAGGTTTTTATCAGCATGTTGTTAACTAGAGGCTAACAAGTTCATTTTCATTGTTGAAGGTTAAATGATCCCTTAATTATAGTTAGCATTATAGCAGTCATCAACCAATTATTTTAACCTCACAAATTTGGCTAACATTTGATTACCTCTGCTGTATGGGCTTGAGGTCACTGAGGTGGATCTGTGGTGGAGGCTCTTGTCAGTCACTGAATGGTGCACCGCTGGTAAGTGCGATCCTGCCCACATTGTTCAAAAAGATTGAATGTATCCACAGCTCAAATTTATGCCCATTGTTATAGTTGAACTAGATTTGAATAAAATGGGTAACTAACAGACCCAGTGTCCTACATTTCCTGAAGGAAACTCCCGAGGGATTAATAAAGTGCTATCTATTTATCTAAAAGTAAAGTTCTGTGACTCTGTGAAACCAGTACCAAAATGTCAACTAGTAGTGCATGCAATGACACTGCTTGCAATCGTCTTAGGCGTTTTGTGCTAAATCCATGGAAAGCGTTCTGAATGTAAGTGTCATCTTGTTTTTGCACCTTTCTGTCTGCAGGTTTTATTGTTCACTCCAACACGTGACTATTTCTGTCTTTCAGATGATAGAGGATGTTTTGGGGGAGGGCCCTGCATCAGCCAGCCGCTTCACTCAGTGGTTTTCCAGTAATATGAGCCCTTCAGGCAGCCAGTCCAGCAGTCTGAGGTCTACTCCTCATGAGGAGTTGGAAACACTTGCAGGTAATACTTTTTCACTTAGGTGTTGTTGTTTAAGATGAAATGTCCTGAGCAACTTGAACTATATTTCTTTAAAAAAATACAAAATGCAAAATGGAACCTACATATAAATCTGCATCATAATCATGTATGGAAAATGGTTCTGAAACACGTTATCACACAATAGTGATGATCAAGTAAAGTTCCCTTCATTTTATTATTGTCAGTGTGTCATGTCAACCAAATTATTTTAATTGATATGCATTTGTCACAGACTCGTATCTGCACGGTGTCCTAAATCCTTTTTCCTATACTTCTTTCTAAAGGGCTTGAACCACGTTGCATCTCTCCTCGCCAAGACCCAGCACCATATTTCACACCCATTCAATCAGAGCGCCGGGAAAAGGTGGACATCCTGGAGCTGCTTCACAAAGCCAAGATTGACCTGAAGCCACTTCTCTCCACTCTGTCAGTAAACAAAGCAAGGCTACGTGAAGGCAGTAAGTTCACAAAGTTCACTAAGAGAAAGAACCCGTAGCTTTTGTAGATACATTTTCAGTTGCTGAGGGTGGAGAGCTGTGAAATTGTAGTTCCTGCCGGTGTGGATTAAACAACTTGTTAGGCTGCGTCACCTCCCTTATTCAAGCAGTAACTACGTTGTTCTCATCTGGACACAGCTCACACCGGAGTGGTGCTCTCACTGGAGGAGGTGGAGGGAGGGATGAAGGGGATGAAGCTCAGTGCAGGACCACAGGAACGTAGGGTTCCACCTCCAGCCAGGGGAAATGGCACGCCCTTCATGGCTGAGCATTTAGAGGAGGCTTTGACTGGCGGCCCCAGTGCCCGTCATCGCTCACGTGACACTGACATGTCGGCCTTCAATAAACTGGTTAGCACCATGAAGGCAAGTGGAACCTTACCAACTCACCCCAAAACCAACACAAACAATGTAAGTATTTCTTTGAACCCTATTTTTGGTTTTCATTTTTAAAAATATAGTATTTGTTGATGGGCATAAATTTGTTTTCATACTTGTGGTTTTCTTGCATTTGTTCTTCTTAAAGATTAGCAGCAGTGTGTTTAATTTTATGAAGACTACTTGAAATTTAATTTTCCGACACTTGAGGTGAAATTGTCTTTCACCTGGTCTCCACTGCTGAGTGCTTACTTGGGTTGGGTTTTTACAAAAATGCTTTTTAGCTGTATATGTTGTTGTCTTCATTGTCTCCACTGCTGAGTGCTTACTGGGGTTGGGTTTTTAGAAAAATGCTTTTTAGCTGTATATGTTGTTAGGGGGGGTTGCAATACTGCATTCAACTCAATCTCTTTTTTTTCTTTTTTTTGTTTTGCCTTTTGTTTGACCACAGCAGCCCTCAGACTCCACTCCGTTGGCAGTCTCTGAAGCTCAGGTGCCTGTACAGCAGCAGAACAATATTTTCCAGGTTTGTGTTGACTTGTTGCATTAATGTGATAAAATACACAAAGGTTTTGTTTCTAAACAGTCGTCCTGTGCTGTTGTGTCTGGTGTAGGAGCTCCTGGGTGGTCCAGGTCGGAGCAGTTCACCTACACTTCTTAGCAACCTGTTGGGCACCACCGAGGGTACGACCTCTTCTGCCCCCCTCCATGCCCTGTTACACAAGGGCCCCTCACCATCTTTCTTTGCACAGAGGGCGCCTTCACCAGACTACTTCAACAGGTTGCATCCTCCAGCAGGTAATTTTCTTTATTTAGAAATAACCTGATAATAACAGCAGAGTTTCTTTACTTTTTTTAAATTAGAAATAACCTGATAATAACAGCAGATCATAAAACCCAGTTAATGGAACAGTGAGGAGAAAATAGTCAGATAATTTCAAACTATTTTCTCATATTTTCTCCTTCTGTGGGTGAAAAAAAAAGCAACTCATAACTTACATGTTGGTAATTGGAGTTGAGACTAAGACTGACCAGAGAGCATTAACAACAGATTTGTTGAAGTTATGTTGACATTTAAATTGACATCTAACAGATTTAGTTTTTTTCTAAAAGAACAGTTTCTCATATCTCAAAGCTCAAATGTAATGTGGATTTTTTTTTTTCCTTTTCTCCCCCTTCTTGCATCAAGGTTTTCCTGTTGGTCCTCAGCCCATGCTTCCTGAGCAGTTTGACGTCCACAGGTCCATCAGCCCAGGATCTGCTGCACAGCAACAGGTAATAAATAAATATCTAAAACTTTATATGAGATACTTGAAAGCCTAGGGGTGAACTGTCATCGTAGTAAACACACAGTGCTGCTCCATCTGAATGTCAGGTTACTAAAATTGGAACAGAGGGATCTACATTTGGAATCACTAGAGAAAACTTTAAAGGAACCAAGACTATGAATGTTTCCAATTTAATTGTTAAAAAAAAATCAATACAGAGCTGTAAACTATCAATATGGTATCGTGAAATGAAATATTGTGATATTTAAGTGTATATAACAAACTGTACACAAATATATCATAATATACTCACAGGTGATGCTTGATGTTTGTATTGGAAACGATATATATATTTAAATTTCAGCAGCAGAATGTAGTGTTTTAAGCTGATGTGTGTCACCGTGGACAGAGGCTGGAGGTCTCACCATCTCACTGTGTTTATTGCTTGTTTAGATGAGGGCGCATTCGATGCCTGTGAATCAGGCCGACCTGGAGGCACTGATGTTACAACATGACCTGGCTCTACAGGCCCAACACGCATTCCAGTCCAGCTACAACAAGCCACTGCAGGACAAGTCTTTTCGAAATAGGTACTTCTGGTCTTTTTAAAATGCATAGAAGTAAATGATTTTTTTTTTTTTTATTATTTTTACTTTTGAAATGTATTGCACTGCCAATCTCATCATACTAATACTGTCTTATGTGCTTGACTCGTCAGACCACAGCGTGGTGTTCGTTCCCCTGGTCCAGGCTCTCAGCCTGCAGGCAGAAACTCTCCAGGAAATGCTGTCACCAGCATGGTGAGTATAAATTCATCTCTCTTAGGTTATTTTTCATTTCAGAGTTGTTGTTAAATCCATCCAGAACTTAATCCACGGTTTTCCTTATGGTGTTGTTCTCCGGTACAGTTGTCTCCTTCATTTACACCTACATCTGTGATCCGGAAAATGTACGCAACTAAAGAGAAGAGTAAGGATGAACCTTCTGGTCGTACAGACAAAGAGGAGGCTGCAGCACATTCTCATGATGGTACAGAACATTGGTTCCTTTATTTTAACATTTACTTCATGTACGACAAAACTAAAACTTTTTGGTCTTGGGCTTATGTGATTGCAGGAAACAGCTCTCCAAACACATGCCTAGAAGCGGGGGACGGAAGTGCAGGCCACTCTGGGGTCAAGGCCAGTTCACAGACAATACCTACCAAGGACCAAGAGCGTCTCAGGCCCGGCTCTTCAGGGCCCCACACACCAGCCATGGCACCCCCGGGGACATCGTCATCGTTTCCTCGTCCAGTCTACCCAGTACCACTTTTATCACACGTGTCCATGATGCGTCCTCCGCCTCCCCAGCTTCACCCGAATGTGGTTCAAAGAATGCTAGCTCAGGGCATCCAGCCCCAGCAGCTTGGACCTGCACTTGTGCAAGCTGGTGAGTGTGCAGCAGTTTGACTGTATGGTTGACTCCAGGGTGAGAATCTCTCACAGATTCAGTCATCATCATGAAGTTGTATCAAATGACTGACTATATTATTACCATATATATAAACAAATACAAGTTTCTTCTAAGAATATTTCAGATCTACTATAAAATTACCATAATAATGATAATTTTGTCGCATTAATGTTTATAATTACAGATCTAGCAGCATGTCCTCCTGGTAAAGGATGACAAACACAACACTTTACATGTTTTGTTTCTGCATGACATACATTCGGAATAAATTACATGCAAAAAAAAAAAACACTGTACAGATTAGGAAGAAATGTTGGAATGCATTTTGATTGATTTGATTTTGAAAGTAAAGCTCATCTCTTGTCCATCCCAAATCCTCTCACTACTGCCCCCTAAAAGAGGACAAGACAGGGACTGCTGGTCAAAATCGTATTCTTTAGTTTGTTTAGTGAACCCCATAAAAGATACTCATTGGTTACACCCTTTATGTGTCATTAGATGATTTTCTCTCAGCCGTACTTTGTTCTACGTTTGACCTCAATATTGTTTTTCTTTTTAATTGCTGTCGGCAGGTGGACAGGGACTGCTGGTCAAAATCTTATTCTTTAGTTTGTTTAGTGAACACCATAAAAGATGCTCATTGGTTACACCCCTTATGTGTCATTAGATGATTTTCTCTCAGCCGTACTTTGTTCTACGTTTGACCTCAATATTGTTTTTCTTTTTAATTGCTGTCGGCAGGTATATTTGTTTTTGGGGTTGATCTCACACAACTACAAGGCTTGCCTCCTGCCCTCCTCGGACAACCGCTGTACCCTCTCAGTGCCACAGGGCATCCAATACTACCTCCAAGAGCAAATACTCAAATGCAGCTAGCAGTCATGCAGCAGCAGCTTCAGCAACAGAGACCGAGTGAGTTGGGTCAATGTCAAGAGTCCTGAGTGTTTGTTCAGTCGTGGCTGCACTCAGTCACTTTAAGTGGTTGGATTAACTCAACCCTTCACAGCTACTGTCAGTCAGGGAGTTCAGTGTTCGACTACATAAAGTTAAGTTGATGAATTTGCATTTGCAGTCTGAGAAACAACTTCAAGTGTCTAGAATTAATCTAAAAAAAGAGTTTTGTAAAGAATGGGCTGAGGGGGCGTATTTGTTACTATCCCTAGAATTAATCAGTTTCTTTGCCTCTCGTTGTAGTTCATCCAGGTGTTCAAGGACCTCTGTCACAGAGCCAAGGCCCCCACCGGACAAATGGTTCTCAGCAACACGGAGCCAGCCCCCCTCTAGGCCTGTCTAAGTGGTTTGGAACAGATGTGTTGGAACAACCCCTCCCTTCAATGCCAGCCAAGGTCATAAGCGTCGATGAATTGGAGCTGCGGCCGTAAGAAGCAACCGTGCTGGATAGCAGGAAGTCCCCCCTCCCATCCCTTTCTTGGGCAGATCTCCTCCACCTTGTTACCATAGAAATGTGAATTTTAATTTGGAAGACAGTGCACAGAACTGGATAGTCAAACCATGTCATTACTTCAATCTTGATCACTGCTTTATGAAGAGGGAACGGATGGAGATGTTTTTGGGTTGTTTTTTTTGTTGTTTTTTTTGTAGCCGAGTGAAGTTTTTGGTTGTTTTTTGTATTAGATGATGCACAGTAAATATTGTATAGGCCTAATTGTACAGACCATGGGAAATGATGTAATGCTCCCTGTATATAGGTATGGTGGTTTGGTTTCTTTACCTGGGTTTGGGGAAGGTTAAAACTGTTGCAGTAGACTGAACTGTGAGATGATCACTCAGAGCTGGTAGCATTCCTCTGTCTTGTCCACCCTGAACCCTCTTCTCCCTCACACACACACTGAGAAAAGGGTCATTTGGTTTGTGAATGATTGTTTCCACCCAACCCTTGTGTTGTGGTATGAATAGTGGCCCTTTCCAATCAAGGCGATTGGCAGGAGCATGACGAGACAACTGCAGAGGAAGGATGGTTGTGCCTTTTCTTTTTTTCCTTTCCCATTTCTCTTCGAAATGTATCCTCTCCCGTCCACGCCACCGTTTGGCGACGGCACTGCTCACACTGTCATGGTCTGGAGGGTGTTGGGGATGCAGTTTATGTGCTGAAAGCACAAATAGAATTAATAAATAAAAACTTGAGTAACAATGTATATCTGTTTTATTTATTTTTATTTTTCTATTGTGTCTTCAGAGTATGTTCAAATGTTTTTGAAAAAATGTTAGCATTTTGATTTGCTAACTTGCGTGTACTGAAATGTCAGTGAGAGTCGAGTCATTGAGCCGTGACAGTGCAGTAGTACTGGATGTGTAAATGTGTACTTGGAGGAATATAAATTCATCCTCAATTAGGTGATTTAGTTTTTTACATAAGTGTATCAGATGTCAGAAATCATTTTTACACCAGTCTAAAATAGGTTTGTTTGGGAACAACCTTTGCTACAAACCCCAGGGGTGTCTTTAAAATTGATGTTTAAAAAAAATCAATACAATACTTTGTTATAACCAAACTTCCAAAACCTCTAAAAATAACTGCAGAAAAGCTTGATGTCAGTCCATAGATGGAGCACTAACACAGTTGTTGTGTCCTGGTGTGACCCCGGAATTGTACAAAGAAGGAACTCTCTGACTTACAGAAGAGTTGACTCAGAGGACAGGTAGATCAGCTGATTGGCTGATAGAGAAACAGGATTTCTGAACAATAATATTGATTTTAAAAATTGAATTAATGAATTAATTAATATCTGTTTTTCTCTTTAAAATCAGTAGTTGTGGCCATGTTGGATCACTGTAGGTACATTAGCCCACAGTGGACAAACTTAATAGCTTCTAATAACTGAAGCCTCTTGATGTGGTTGGTTAATAACTTTTCTAGATGTTTTCCAACACCACACCTCCAGTGTCCGAGTGTTTTGTCTCATGAAGTGGAGGACAGACAGAGACAGAGACAGACAGAGACAGACAGACCTGACTAGGTGGCACCGTGTGGTACAATAATGCTGCTGGGTTTACACAGTGAGCTGACACACAGGGAGGGGGGTAGCTGGGTGGGTTGGTTAGTGACTGGTGGGGGAGGGGTTGCTCTTACAAACAGAGCAGACAGGAAGAGAGTGGACCTGCTGCGTGTTCACATTTCTCCATGAAAACACGAGGGTCCACGGCGGAGCTACGTTTCTCTTACGCTCCTCCTGAGCGAAGGCCATCACGACGACGGGAGCGTTGAGGCCGAACGTGACCGTGTTTGACAAACTGATTTTTTTTTCTTTTTTTTTCTCTCTCGACAATATGATATCGACCCCCACCCGTCAAGAAAGCAGGGTCAGAGTTCACAGGAAGCTGGGGGGCTGCCATTTTTCCCTGCTGCTACTGCTAACGTTAAACGGCAGATGCTAAACGGACGAGGAGGTGAGATTTGTTTGTTGGGTGTTTTTGTTAGCTTTCTCCTCACCCACACATCATAACCGCGACTAAACAATCCGTCATTCCTCCGACCGCTGTCGCCCGCAAGCGTCGTTAGTGGATGAATTCGGCATGGAGAAAGTAGCGGAGCCGTCTTGGACTTCTTCCTACACCTACCAGGTGAGCAAGCACAGTGCGGAGATGCTACACAACCTCAACGTTCAGAGGAAAGATGGAGGCAGGTTCTGCGATGTGGTCCTGCGCGTCGGCGAGGAAAGCTTCCCTGCCCACAAGGCTGTTCTGGCCGCCTGCAGCGAGTATTTCGAGTCGGTCTTTAGTCGCGAGACGGAGGGCGACGGAGACACGAAGGAGCTGGAGATGCACACGATCAGCCCGAAAGTTTTCAAAGATATCCTGGACTTTGCCTACACCTCCAGGATCGTGGTGCGACTGGAGTGTTTTCCGGAGCTGATGACAGCGTGCTGATGAGGTCGGTGATCGAGATCTGTCAGGAGGTCATCAAACAGTCGAACGTTCAGATCCTCGTGCCGACCGCCCGAGGAGGAGACGCCAGCCTTTTCCAGGCCACCGCAGCCTCGGAGCTGGGTTTCCCGGTGACACAACACGACCTGGTGAACGGAACCGGACTGTTGTTGAACGGTCAGAGTTTTGGTAACAATGCGCAAATGCATGTGGAGGGGAGCGAAGACGCCGCGGCCGTCGTGCTGCTGGAGGGCGGCGGTGAGTCTGCGATGCCGATGTTGGAGCCGGTGGAGGGGCTGTCCGTGTCCGTGTCCCCGTCGGCAGAAATGACAGGCAACTCACTTCACCAGGACGCCGACTCACCGGGATCCAAGAGAGGCAGAGGGAGACCAAAGAGGGCCGCCGAGGCTCTGAACTTCAACCACAGCACCATGAAGGACAACGGACTGTTCCCGTGTGGAACCTGTGGGAAAGCGTTCACCGAGGCGTCCCGTTTGAAGAACCACGAAGCCCAGCACGGAGCCTCCAGCAGCCACAACAACAGCATCAACAACCTCGGTGACAGCCTGTCCTCGGCGTCCCTGCTGTCCCACCCTGGGCTGGTTGAGAACGGACTGCAGTTGCACGCAGGGCTGACGCTGGACAACGGTCGCAAACGGGAGAGGACCAGGCGGCACGTTGGCTGTGACATTTGCGGCAAAGTTTTCCGTGACGTTTACCACCTGAACCGACACAAGCTCTCCCACTCAGGGGAAAAGCCGTACGCGTGTCCTGTGTGCGGGCTGCGGTTCAAACGCAAGGACAGGATGTCGTACCACGTACGATCACACGATGGGTCCGTGGGCAAACCGTATGTGTGCCAAAGCTGTGGTAAAGGCTTTTCCAGGTGAGCCGAGCTTTTATTGTCATTGGGTAAACGTCTCCATGTGGTTTAATAAACAATAATAAACAACAAACACAGTCAGAGTTAACGACAGCTTTCGTTCACTGTTATGGTACTTTACGTTTCTCTAAAGGTTCATGTCCTGCTACAGTTTACCGAGCTTGTTGTGTTCACCGAGTCAGTTACAAACTCACTTGCGCCACCTTCTGCATCGGAGGTTAATGGTTAAGAAAATACAGTTCAGTTTTCATTTTCACACAGACCTGTTGTATTCAATACTCTGTCGATGCTTTAAGGTCATAACGCGGGGGAACTCTTAGATGTCTATCCATTATCCACTTGACTATAGGCTGCCCCTAACGGTTTGTTGTGGTATTGCAGTTTAGGTGCTTGTAGCACACACGCCATAGTCTGACAATTACAAACACGGATTTATCTTATGTTTTTATTATTTTTATGTTTACTCGACACACGAACTGCTTTAGAATGAACTTGACTTCCATCAGTATCAAAAAGAAAAGTAAAAATTAAAGTGTTGATAGAAATACAGGAAGAGATCTTAGGTTAAACCAAAGCCTGTGGTGTTTAGACAGATGTTCTAACTCAAACTTAGACCTCGTCACTGTCAGGAGGAACATTTGGAGCTTATCTGAAGTGACAAGCCACAATGACTGCAATTACAGTAAGGGTGGGTTTTTTTTAATGCTGATTTCCTGTCACGTGATCACAGGCTATTATTGTACAGCATTTTTTAACCCAGCAGAGTCTCCTCTGTACCAGTTACAGTTACCGTCTGTGCTGTTGTGGCCTGTTGGCAGCTCCGGCTAAATCTTAGAAGGCTAGACAAAACAAAATGGTTTTCATTAGTTTTCAAAGCCCATAGTTAAAGACTTTTTTTTTTCTACTTTTTCCCCTGTTCATCTTTATTCTGCACCAGGGTCTACAGGATCACGACAGTTCATAAAACCACAAAACCACTTTATAATTCAACTTTTTTTTCCCCCAATTCCAGACCTGATCATCTGAATGGACATATAAAGCAAGTCCACACAACAGAGAGACCACACAAGTGCCAGGTACCATTCAGTCCACAGCACATGCTTTTACATCATAAATATCTGCTCAACTAAAGGTTGTCTTTAATGAAAGTGGAATCCACCGGAATCTTTTTTTTTTTTTTCGTCTTAAATGAAAGAAGGAATCCACTGGAATCTTTTTTTTTTCCTTCTTCCTCCACCTCACAGATCTGTAACGCCTCATTCGCCACAAGAGATCGCCTGCGGTCACACCTCGCCTGCCATGAGGACAAGATCCCGTGCAAAGTTTGTGGCAAGTTCCTGCGTGCTGCGTACATGACGGACCACCTGAAGAAACACAGCGAAGGGACGCACAATTACTGTGGCATCTGCAACAAAGGTAATTATTTGGCAAACGTCACGAATTCAGACGGCGTTCGTAGGATTTGACCCCAATTTGGAAAGAATCCTGGCGTTGGTCTGACCCTTGACGTTGTATTACCCCGGCCGGGGGCAGTTTGTCTGAGAACATCTCGTATCTGTAGCTGTTCCCTGTGACTCTGGTGTGACAGAGAATGTCAGGACTTTGACAAATACACGTCGCTTCCATCTGGAAGGTGTGTGATGTGTGTTTTCATGTCTGTGAGCGCGGCTCTCACTTTCTCTTCAGCTGTGCCAATCAGATCCAGTTTCACAGTTTTCTGCTGCTGAAACAGAGCTGTTAATATGGCGTTCTTGTTTGTCCGTTTGTTGGTTCAACTCTGGGTCACCGCACTAAACCACACTAACCTCCGACCTGGCTGGATCCTGGATCGGTATGGAACAGCTGTAAAAGTCTGAATTCAATCGAGTGCACACCGAGGTGAATCTGCTGCCAGAAGGTGATGCAAAAGTGATGAAAGTGTTGTGATAAACTTGATAACATCATCACGTTGCTCAGTACGTTTTGATTAACGGAGCAGGTTGTTGGTTTGGCGATTGCTTCATGTGTGAGATAAGGTTCTATTTTTGATGAACCAGTACTGTGCACGGAGGAAAAGCTAAGTTAGGGCTCAGAGATTTCTTCAGATTGAACTTTTTCTGCAATATTTTTAACTGGCAGTTGAACAGCAGGAGAAACCAAATCTGACTTTTGCCCCGAGGAGAAAAAAAAAAAGGATTCAAGTGGGTCAGCAAACCAAACGCCACATTTTTAGAAGGTGAACCAACGTTTTGGGAAAGGAGCGTCGATGTGTCAACCAAAGCCCCTACGTACCTCTCAGTGTCAACACTGAACGGTACGTAGTACTGACATGACACTTTTCTGTCAGTACTGATGCAGACACAGACTCTCCTCATTCCCTGGACCCCGTCACCCCTCCACCCCTCCACCCCCCCACAGCCAAGGCTTCTATTGTGTACAACAATTGCCTTGTTCTTTCTTCTTCTGGTCCCAGGTTTCTCCACCGCCTCCTACCTTAAGGTGCATATAAAGACACACCACGGCTCTCCACTGCCCCCCTCTGCTACAATGCACACCTTCCCCGAGGTGAGGGGGGGGCTGCAGATGCACAACGGCACCGCTTACCACATGGGACGCCAGTCCTCGGTGGAAGGCAAGCAGTCGCCTCCCCCATCCCAGAGTTCTGTGTCTTTGGCTTCACTGTGCTTCGCTGCTTTGTTGGGAATCGTGTTTCTGCATCGCTGTCCATGTTGTAGACACCAGGCCAACATCCACCTCACCCCCCCTCACCCTCCACCCTCCACCCCCGCCCATGAACCACTGAGAATAGAGCAGTTTCATTCGCTGCCCGTCTTTGCTGAAGACAACGTTAGTGTTTTATCATTTCTTACTAAGTGTAGGAGCAGGAGCTTCAAACCTGGGCTGCATAATTCAGTCCCAAATATCTGGTGGAAACTCTAGTGTAATACGCCGATAAATCCAGGATCAGGAAGCAATTAAAAAAAAAAAAAAATCTAAATACAAATATAATTCTATATTGTGTAGTATTGGCCATATACTTTGAGAGTAAAATATTTCTACTGTAAAATATTTCTACTGTCACATACATCAGGGTCACTGTGAGTCTGAGGGGGTCATGCCCCGCCCCCATCCCTAGCACCATCTGTGGCCGCTGAAAGATTTTAAAATTAATTTTGTTCCTTCATAAAAAAAAAAACCCACAAAGTAAATTCAAGCGCTGTTTTATTCCTACATCACAGTGAACCATCTTTATATTTATCTTTATATTTACACGGATCGAGTGCAGACGACAGGAAGTGCTGAGGATCCGATCAGATCTCACCGCGCTGGTCGCGCTCTTTACTTGCGTCATCACAACTTCCTTTTTCAGCATAGCGTTGTTATGGCGATAAAAGTCTTTTGGACAAAACCAAAAATGAACTTTTGGGCCGAAATTCTGCGTTGGCCGACTCCTCAGTGGATCCCTGGGTGGAAAGAGTCAAATAATCTGTTTTATTTTTGTGTCTCAGAGGGAAAAAAAAAAGTGTTTGTTACTCATAATGTCATGCTGTTTGTGTGTGTGTCCTGCATGGCCATGGCAGCATACACCTGGGTGGGTGGGGGGGGGGCTCCTCCTGCTTGGCTTTGCCCATCTGCAGTCTTTCTAAGCAGTGCACAGTGTTGCATGACTGTTGGATTGTGCTCCTCCATTTGCCCCAGAGTCATTGAAACTTGTGCCAGTTTGTGGGAGGGCACGGGGGAGGGGGGGCGACGGGGGGGCAGGACATCATCTAGTTGACCCTGGCAGAGAAAACAAGTGAAGCTAAACGGGTAAAATCATCTTTTTATTTTATTTTATTTTTTTACATTTGCATTGATGTGAAACAGCAGCAGCGTTTCTTCAGTCTGATGAAGTGATGAAAACATAAACCAGAGACAGAGATTCTCTGAGGCTCCGCCCACACTGGACCACCTGTCCGTCATACAGTTTCACACACAAAACCTGGAGCAGGTTTTGCTCCAAATACTTTAATTACTAATGTATTTAAATACTGAAAGGAACAACTGGTGGTTACGTTTGTTTTATTAATATTTTAAATCAACAAATGCAGTTCTTTTTGCCCCCACACAGGGCAGAAATTAAAGGTGAAAAATTGTAACATAAACAAAAAAGAAACAGTGACACACAGTGGAGAACTGGGGTCATGAACATAACAAATCAGGCAAATTTAAGAGTTAAATTTGTCAAACTTTGTGCTTTTATCACTTGTTTAAAATTGTCAGATGGATTTCTTTAGAAATGAGATTTTTTTTTTAATTTTTAAAATTTAAATTTTTGGACGACCGAGGGTTTGTACTGGTGTTGACATGAAGGTGATGTTGTCCATCGGACTGTTGTGTCTGTTCCTTCCTTCTTCCTCTCTCCCTGGCCTGGGTGTCACGCAGGCCTGAGTGCTAGTCACCAACTGCTTCTCACCTCCACTGAGGCAGGGGCCCACTTTCACGTGCCCCCTGGACACCCAGTTCTACCCCCGCCTGCTCCTCTAGCCCCGGGCCAGCGGTCTGAGCTGCTCGTGGGGAAGCCAGGTGGGGCTCCCTGTTTCTGGGAATGTCACTCCAGTGGTGGGGGGCCTGGTTTCCCCGTCCAGGGGCCAGTTTCAGGTCAGTCTCGTCCGACAGAGGGGGGGGAGGGGCATGACGTGTTGGAATGGCCCACTGGCTGTGGATGAGCACAGTGAGAACTCAGTGGAAGAGGGGCAAATGGATGAGTGAGAGAACTGTGTGGCTTTGTGGCTGAGCTCGTTTGTTCAATGTGAAAATCTTTTTTTTTTTTTTTTTTTTAAATCGTGGCCTTATCTCCTTCCACCTGGAGTTTCAGTTTGTGGATTACAGATGTTTGGTTTTCCCTGAGTCGTCCAATATTCGTCAGTGTTCAGTGTCCTCCAAGTTCAACCTCTCTCACTGTCGTCCTTGTCGTGTTCGTTGCAGACGGGCAGGAGAACACGGAGAAATGTCCTCATCTGGAGTCCGAAGAATCCGACCCATCGTTCGGAGAACTGTCCAACAGCGAGGAGTTCAAATCGCCACAAAAATCCGAGGGACCTGAGCTGGAAATGCAGTCTTTGTCCTGCAACGGAGGGACCTCCTCGGGGACGCTTGGATCTCCGGACGAGTCCAAGACCAAGACGGACCCTGAGAAGAAGTTCATCTGCGGCATCTGCGGCCAAGCTTTCCGCACCAAGTCCTACCTCAACAAGCACCAGCACCGAGTTCACAAAGCCCTGAAGTCCCAGGGGCTGTCCAGGTCCGGCCTGAGTGAACTGGCCCCCTCCCTCGCCTCACCCTTCTCCCCCCAACAGAACATGTCCCTGCTGGAGTCTTTTGGATTTCAGATCGTCCAGTCGGCGTTCGCCTCTTCACTGGTGGACGCCGAGGCCGGTCAGAGCGGACTGGACTTTGGAGGGAAGTGACAACATTTTACTGGAGCTTCTCTTCTTTTTATTTTTCTTTTCTTTTTTTGGACAAAGCCGGGTCGCCCACAGACAGCGCTCTGTTTTTGGGAATAACTTTGCCTCAAGACTACTTTTCTCCGTTGGTTAAGTTCCTTAATGTGTGTAACCGATATTTTTGTCACACGGACTCACAGTTCCTATCTTTTCTACCTTTCCAGAGAATGCGAAGTGCTCGTTGTGTAAATGTTGCTTTCAAAGAAACGACACGAAGGTCGGGATTTTCCTCCACGTGTCTAATATATTTGCGAGACTTCCCGTCGTTCACGGCTCTTGTGTTAATCTCGGCTGCACGCGTGTTCCTGACATGACATGAGTTATTTACTGTATTCTGAAAGTGAGAAAAGTTCCGTCGTCTCTCGGCCCATTTACACTGAATGAACTCCTGACCTTCGCAGCAGGTTTTTTTTTTTGTTTCTTTTCCCTGAAGGCTGTGAGAACAGACTTCTTTACCTCAGCAACAAGAGAGCAGAGCTCACTATTGACTTTTTTTCAGGTTTTCTGAAGAAAAAATTCAGTTGAGATTTAAATTATAAAACTTTTCCTTTGAGTTTGCATACAGAAAAAAAAAACCAGTAAGTGTTAAAATGTTGCCTCTCATATTTATTAATTTCTCCCACAATATTAAAAAATAATTTAAACTCTGTATCAGCAAATTTCGTTTTCTACATTTGTTCCTCTTAATAGTCCACTATTATTAGAGATTCACCTTTTACCTCTAGTGGGCGCCCATGTACCACCTGTGGTATGCATACCATAGTTTGAGACCCACTGGTTCAGCTCCTCACCACTCTCCTCATGGACAGTTGTTATTCTGACCCTGTCGTGTCTAAAAAATTGTATTTTTTTTTTCTGTATGCAGTAATGTTTGACTCAACTGAAAATTTGGTTTAAAAACGTCTCCGTATTTACAGACACCGTGTCCCACACAGGCCCAGGGCATTTTTCATGAATCACTTTGTTACAAGAAACAGTTTTGTTGTCAAAGTTGATGAGTTTTCAGGAATAGTGTTTTTTTATTTTATTTTTCTTTGACATCAACAAATATTTGGAAGAATTTTGAAATCTCGAAGAGAAAACCTTAAATTATAAATATAGAACATGTAGGAAATGCTCTCAGTGACGGGAGTGAAGCTACCTCATCGGTTTGATTAAAGAACTTTAACTCATTGGATGAACTGAATGGAATTGTTTTAAGCAAAACCCTCTTTTTTTTTTTTATTTTATTTTAGCATCTTACCATTTCCGAGCATAGACCTTTATTTTATGTTGTAACAAATATTTGTGAGTTTTGTTACTCGTTCAGTCCAAATAATTATTTCTTTAAAAATAGAAGAAAAAAAAATCAAGGAAGAAAAGCCATTTCTTTGAAGAAATATTTTTTTATTTCAGATGTTAAAATCTGCTCAATTGTTCTTGAAACTTGCCTTGAGCTTGTTGGGACCTGCAGCCCCCGAAACATCGGTGAAAGGTTTGGTTTTTTTTTTTTTGTTCAGTCGCAGCTCAACAAACAGGGACCAAGGTCAGGTTTATTTTCCGAGTGTATTTTGATAAAATGCAAATTCTATTTTATTAACTTATTCCTGCTCTGCTTTTGTTGTATACAAGTTTTTTATTGTCAAACAATGATCTTGTGTGATTTGCTTTATTCAGTACTTTTTCCTACTGTAAATTATGAGTTGTTACGGAGCAGCGTGGGCTACTGTGTGTCTTGTGCAACAGTTGAAGGCGTTTAAAAAAAAAGAAAAGAGAAAAAAAAGGATCCACTCCTTCGTCCAACTGCCTCTGAACTGACCAAAAGTGATGCAATTTTTTTTTTTTTTTTTTTTTCACCGCGGGGGGTAATCAAGCTCACGTAATGTCCTCGGAGTCTCTTTAGTGTCTCGTCATCTTCGTTTGCTGCACTTAGTGATGGGTGAGGAAGAGGGGAGGGGACGGGACGGGAGGGGAGGAAGAACTGTTGTATAGAAGCTGAAGGAATTTAATCACTGCACCAGCATCAGACACCGACACAGAGAAGAAACAAAAGACCGAGCGAAGCAGTAGTACTGCACATACAGTACTACATATACAGTACTGTATGTGCAGTACTGTTTGGGTGGTGTGTACATTCACTATTTATAGTAAATCCAGAAACTGAAACCAGATCGTCAACGACAGACGGGGCATCAGGGTCGGGGGAGGAGGAGGTGTTGGCGCTAAAAGCCACATTTGAATTGAGACTGTTAAATTATTACAAAAAAAAAAAACCTATGCCATCACACGGCCCTGCTTGACAAGAGAACTGGTCCACATGGTTTGGACTGAACCTCTGGTTTCTCCACAGTTGGATTTGGTGAATGTAGGAAACTGCCTAAAACTTTTGCACAGTCTAAATTCTCTCATCAACATAAAAAAAAAGAAGAAAAAAAGACGTTCAGTTGTATTTTACGTTTGTGTGAGTTCGCCCATCCCTAACTGCACACTATGTACTGACCACCACACACCCCCGATGCACTAACGGCACAACTCTCTCTACCTTGTCTTACATTTAAAATGTGTCTAATCTGTGACATTCCTGTGATGAAAACAAACCAGACTGAACTGGTTTTTACACCACGCTGGACAATACGGGAAAAAGTTCAAAGTGTATGCAAATGTCATGTCAATCGAAATTCTTTTCTTTTTTTTCGTTTAAATGTTCCAAACACACTGCAGAATCAGAGACTGATTTTATGTATATATATACATATATATATGTATATATGTATATATGTATGTATGTATGTATACATATGTGTATGTATGTATATATGTATACATATATATACACACATACTGTATATATACACATATATACACACACATATATACTTATATATATGTGTGTATATATGTATATATACATATATACACGCGTACAGTATATATCTGTATATATATATTTGAATCATGCAATAATCTCGGTTGTGTACAATTCTACAAATTTGGTTAAATTACACAAATGCAAAGTACATAAAAAGTATATTGTTTGGGTTGAAAGCCCTCATCACTTTACTTCACTTTTTTTCCCCACATTTATTAGTTGTGAAATTCCTAAAGTAAAGAGGAAATCTGAGTGTGTGTATGTGTGTGTGTGTGTGTGTGAGTGAGGCAGATTAGGGTATAACGTGTGTGTGTATTTTTGTCCATTCACTTTTTTTCCCTGCTTTTTTACATATTATTTGTGAAGAAGTCGACACATTCCTGTATTATTTATGGTTTTATTTGTGATTGTAACAAGTGTATATACCAGACTTATACACAGTCTATACATTTACATATACATACATACATATATATATACATATATATATAAATATATGGAACGACCAATAGGATCCTTGTCTGTCAGTGGTGGTCCTGTACATATGTAGAATTTTCGTGTTATTTGGAGGAGTCTTTAAGTTATGGCCATTCATTTCTGATTGGAGGAGTCGGACTGCGTGTTGCGTTGATGTCGTGCAGGCGGAGGTGAGATCTGAATGTCGATCACTGGATGGTGGCAGTGAGAGCGCCACCTCTCTGGAGGTGCTCACACTGCCAGCTGCACAGCTCAAATCTTAGACAGAGGTTGTTGTTTTGTTTTGATTTTATATATTCTGCACTGGTATCTGCATCAGTTTTACATGAGTTGTGATTTTGAAATCAGATGGAAGTTGTTAAAGAAGTGTGTTTGATTTGTTTCACTCATGTCGGTACTCCGGTTCTTTTCACCGATCCTTTAGACCCGAATGGTTCCGCTTTCTGCTTTTGGTCTGTTGCAAAGTGCCTTCCAAATACTGACGGTGCACAGCAGTGGATTTTTTTTCTAAAGGTTGAAAATTGAACAGAGCGACTTGCAATGACACTTTTGTATGAATTTAAAAAAAAGAAGAAAAAAAAACCCAGACAAATGTACTACGTGTTCACTTGGTATTTTATCCTTTCGCTCGGCGCAGTTGCTGCAGAACATGTGTGCGCGGCGTGCTTTCTTTGAAGATATTTCAACTCAAGCGTACTTTTTTAAGTATTTGTTTTTGTACTTACCCAGTCTCATCTTCCTCAGAGATGATGGCGTCAAATAAATCACAATGGAAAAAAAAAACTGGCTTGGATTTTTTTTTTTTTTGTTCATTCGTTCCAGCGCCCCAGAAATATACAATTAACCCCCCCAATCTAAACATCAAAAACACATATAAAAACAAATATATTGATGATATAAAATAATAATAATTTAAAAACATTTTATATTATTGTTATAAACATGGGTAAAGTGCCTGGTTGTGCACTCGTAACTTGATATTTCTTGGTATCAGGAGCAAAATCTTACAACAGTTGCAGACTCGTCACATGCAATACTCTGCTCTGGCCACTGTATCAATATTATATTATAAATGTATTTTTATTTACATACATTTTTATTCACTCAGAGGTCAGTGTGTTTGTGTAATAGTACATGAACACAGACCTGCTCTTGCTTTTTGTTTGAATAATGACATAAAGAAAATAATAAAATATAAAAGAATTACTGTTCAAAGTGTTAAATTATAATTTGGTGCCGATGTACGTTTCGGTCTTTTCAGCGTCGACTGCAGCCACGTTCTTGTAGTTGAGTTTGTGGAACTCCTCTGTGATCTCCACCATGGTCTTTCCTTTGGTCTCGGGGACAAAGTGAATCATGAATCCTGCACTGATGAAGCAGTAGACCACGAAAATCAGGAAGCAGAACTGACCCAGTCCCTCCTACACACACACACACACACACACACATTAAATCAACAGCAGAGGGAGATAGACTCAGTTCAAACACTGAAGTGACGGTCGGCTCGTGTCTTACCACCACGTAGCCAAACACCATGCCCACGACGAACATGCTGAGCCAGTTGACCGTCCCACTGATGACATAAGCAGAAGGTCGCCAGGCCTGTAGGAAGAGGTCAGCGGGTAGAGCCATGGACACTCCAGCTGGAACAACAAGACGACTGGATGTGAAGGTTGCTCTTTTCCTAAATGAATTTGACACCAGTGGAAAAAAAACCTCACAGGGTCCAAGTCCATAGATGCAGATGACACAGAAGATGAGGCCGATGTTCACGTACGGGATGAAGTTCAGATGCTGAGAGGAAACGGTAGACGTTGGTGTGAGCCACAGAGCAGAGAGAGTCAGGAGAGTGAGACGTTACCTTGATGGACAGCATGACGGTGAGCAGACACATGGTGAGGCCCATCAGCAGATAACCATAACCCATCAGCTTCTTCCTGCCGGCTCTGTCTATCAGAAAGGACTGAGGCAAAGCAGTGATGTCACACAGCAGCGTCATCAGTTCTTATCCTTCCTTCCTTCTGTCTTTCCTTCTTTCTTTCTGACCTCCATGCAACACTTGCTTCCTTCTTTTTTTGTTCCTTCTTTCATTCCTTTGTCTCTTCCTTTTCTACAGCCTTCCTTCCTTGTGTCTTTTTTCCGTCCATGTCTCCATTTCTAACTACTTCCTTCCTTCCTCTCTTCCTTTCTTCTATTCTCGTTCCTCCTCTCCCTGCTCTTTTTCCCCCTTGTTTGTTTGTTTCTTCCTTTCTTTCTTCCTTGGTCTCTGTCCTGATTTCACTCACACACAGGCAGACAGCGATCAGCTCAGTGGCTCCCAGACCGATGGCCAGGTAATGCATCTGTTCCTCTGGGATTCCTGACTCACGGAAGATGTCGAAGGCGTAGAAGTAGAGCTGGAGGAGAAATGAAAGAAGCATTTACACCACGTCGACCCTGATGAGGCCGACTGAAGCTCTGATGTCTGATGAAGGTGAATGAATATATGAGCGTACAGCATTGATGCCACAGAACTGAACAGCAGCGCAGGGGATGACCAGGGTCAGCAGCTGCCACCTGACACAGCGGGACGTCAACACGTCCTTCACCGTCTTGGCCTTCTCTCCCTGGGAGCTCTCAAGTTCCTTCTGCATATCCTCCAGCTCCAGACTCAGGTCGTCCTCCTGCCACAGCCACCGTAG